AGAAGAAAGCAGAGAGGAGGAAAAAGAAGAAGAAGAAGAAAGCAGAGAGGAGGAAAAAGAAGAAGAAGAAGAAAGCAGAGAGTAGGGAAAAAGAAGAAGAAAGCAGAGAGTAGGGAAAAAGAAGAAGAAAGCAGAGAGTAGGGAAAAAGAAGAAGAAGAAGAAGAAAGCAGAGAGGAGGAAAAGAAGAAGAAAGCAGAGAGGAGGAAAAAGAAGAAGAAGAAAGAGAGGAGGAAAAGGAAGAAGAAAGCAGAGAGGAGGGAAAAAGAAGAAGAAAGCAGAGAGAGAGGGAAAAGAAGAAGAAAGCAGAGAGTAGAGAAAAGAAGAAGAAGAAAGAGAGGAGGAAAAGGAAGAAGAAAGCAGAGAGGAGGGAAAAAGAAGAAGAAAGCAGAGAGTAGGGAAAAAGAAGAAGAAGAAAGCAGAGAGGTGGGAAAAAAAAAAGAAGAAGAAAGCAGAGAGGAGGAAAAAAGAAGAAGAAAGCAGAGAGGAGGAAAAAAAGAAGAAGAAAGAGAGGAGGAAAAAAGGAAGAAGAAAGCAGAGAGTAGGGAAAAAGAAGAAGAAAGCAGAGAGTAGGGAAAAAGAAGAAGAAGAAAGAGAGGAGGGAAAAGGAAGAAGAAAGCAGAGAGGAGGAAAAAAGAAGAAGAAAGCAGAGAGGAGGAAAAAAGAAGAAGAAAGCAGAGAGAAGGGAAAAGAGAAGAAAAACAGAAAGAAGAGAAAAAGAAGAAGAAGAAAGGAGAGGAGGAAAAGGAAAAGAAAGCAGAGAGGAGGAAAAAGAAGAAGAAGAAAGAGAGGAGGAAAAGAAGAAGAAGAAAGGAGAGAGGAAAAGAAAAAGAAGAAGAAAAAAACAAGAGAGGAGGGAAAAAAAGAAGAAAGCAAAGAGTAGGGAAAAAAAAGAAGAAGAAAGAGAGGAGGAAAAAAGAAGAAGAAGAAGAAGAAAGCAGAAAGGAAAGGAAAAGAAGAAGAAAGGAGAGGAGGGAAAAGAAGAAGAAAACAGAGAGTAGGGAAAAGAAGAAAAAGAAGAAAGCAGAGAGGAGGGAAAAAGAAGAAGAAAAAGAGGAGAGAGAAAAAGAAAAGGAAAAAAAAAGAAGAGGAGAAGGAGAAAAGAAAAAGAAAAAACGAAAGGACAAAAGAGGAGGAAAAAAGAAGAATGAATGAAAAGAGGAAGAAAAAAGAAGAAGAAAAAGAGAGAGTAGGGAAAAGAAGAAAAAGCAGAGAGGAAAAAAAAAGAAGAAAACAGAGAGAAGGGAAAAGAAGAAGAAGAAAGAGAGGAGGAAAAAAAGGAAAAAGAAAAAAGAGAGTAGGGAAAAAGAAAAGAAAGTAGAGAGGAGGAAAAGAGGAAGAAGAAAGCAGAGATGAGGGAAAAGAAGAAGAAAGAAGAGAGGAAAAAAAGAAGAAGAAAGCAGAAGAGGAAAAGAAGAAGAAGAAAGAGAGATGAGGAAAAAGGAAGAAGAAAGCAGAGAGTAAATGAAAAGAAGAAGAAGAAAGCAGAGATGAAGGAAAAGAAAAGAAGAAGAAAAAGAGAGGAGGAAAAACTAGAAGAAAAAGAGAGGAAGAAAAAAAGGAAGAAGAAAGCAGAGAAGGTAAAAAAAGAAGAAGAAAGCAGAGAGACGGAAAAGAAAAAGAAGAAGAAAAATTAGAGGAGGAAAAAAGAAGAAGAAGAAAAAGAGGAGGAAAAAGGAAGAAGAAAGCAGAGAGTAGGGAAAAGAAGAAGAAAGCAGAGAGTATAAAAAGAAGAAGAAGAAAGGGAGAGTATTTCTTTTTCATTGGAAAACAAGAAGAAGAAAGTCCTGAGAGGAGGAAAAAGAAGAGAAGAAAGAGAGGAGGAAAAAAGATTGAAGAAAGCAGAGAGTAGGGCAAAAGAAGAAGAAGAAAGCAGAGTAATAGGGAAAAGAAAAGAAGAAGAAAGCAGAGGAGGAAAAAAAAGAAGAAGAAAGAGAGGAGGAAAAAGGAAGAAGAAACAGAGAGTAGGGAAGAAGAAGAAATTTCAGAGGCAGGGAAAAAAAAAGAAGAAGAAAGCAGAGAGGAGGTTAAAGAAGAAGAAATTATCAACACTTACTGGGTTAGGAAAGGAAAAAGGAAGAAGAAAAGACAGAGAGGGAAAAAGAAGAAAAAATTAGAGAGGGGGGCCAAGAAGAAGAAAGGAGAGTAGGGAAAATGAAGAAGAAGAAAGAAGAGAGGAGGAAAAAGAAGAAGAAGAAAGAGAGGAGGAAAAAAGGAAGAAGAAAGGAAGAGAGTAGGGAAAAGAAGAAGAAGAAAGCAGAGAGACACGGGAAAAGAAGAAGAAAGCAGAGAGTAGGGAAAAGGAAGAAGAAGAAAGCAGAGAGCCAGGAAAAGAAGAAGAAGAAGAAGAAAGTTTGTCCTGAGGAAAAAGAAGAAGAAAGAGATTGTCCAATACACACTTCTTAAATTCTTTTTTCCGTCTTGAACCTAGATATGTAAAGGGAATTGGTCAGGAATTCCACTGCACAGTGAACCTACGACTACGTCTGACCAAAGGGAACCGTTACATGTTGTGTAGTTTTTTGTCCGTGTGAGTTCAAGCCCAGATATAAACAATAATCAAGTGCTAATTTTTGTAGGAAAGCAAAACTGTCCTACACCAATAAAGAAAGGCTGCAGTGACCCAATCACTCTCACCCTTCTTAGATAAAGCATTGTCAATTATTCATTTTTGACTAGAATTTCTTTCATCTTCATTTCTCTTGCTTTTTATTGCAACTTCCATCCATAAGAAGTAGAAGTAGAGAATATAGCTATATGGCTAAATTTGAATGACTCCTGCTGGTTAGCATTTTTAGATGAAGCATTGTCAATTATTATTTTTCAGTATTTCTTTCATCTATCCGGTAAATAACCAGAATGTTCTTGTCAGGTTTGGTAGGCCCTGGGTGGATGAGGCCATATTTAACTAACGAAAAAATGGAGAATAAAAGTAACAAGAAAAGGAAGAAAAAAAAAGGATTACCAACGATGAATTTTGAATAAATGATTGTGGAGGAAAAGACTGAAAATCAACCCAGCCGGTCACTGGTTCGACTTTTGCTTGACAAACTGGCAGGTATGATTGTAATTAAAATCAAGTTGCAGCTCATTAATGGAGATAATCCTGTCTATGAGGGACGATCGGAATGTTATTGCCCCCAAACATTGAGCAATTAGTCACCAATTAATATAAAGGAAACTGGCAAAAATAAACAATTTATATTAGATTAATAAGAAATGGGAAGGCGAAAAATGGAGGACGTAGAAAGGAAGGAAGGAAGGAAGGAAGGATGGAGGGAGTTAAGAAGAGTTAAAAATGGGAAGAGAAATATAAAAAGAGCAACATTTGAAGGATGAAGATGCGAAAAGTAAGAGAAAATAAAAAGGAATAAGTAATTATGATGGAAAGTAACGGTACAGGAATCAAAGAGAAACTAAAGCCAAAAGGAAAAGAAAGAGAAAAGAAGTAGAAGGCGGAAAGAAAGTGTAAAAGACAGTTAAATAAGAAGACGAAAAATAAAAGGCATGAAACGAGAAAGAAAAGAAAGGTTAGAAGACTAAGAAAATGAAAGAAAAAAATTTGAAATAAAGGGGAAAAAGAAAGTAAGAGAAAAAAGTAAAGACGGAGAAATGAGAGATTGGGAAAGAAAGAAAGAAAAAATAAATGAAAAAAAGGAAAATCGGAAACGAGAGAAAGAAGAAAAATGAAAGATTAGAAAACAAGGGAAATGAAAGAAAGATTAGAAACAAGAGAATGAAGAAAGGAAAGAATGATTTCATTTCGAAGAAAAATGAAAGAAAATGAGTGGAAACGAGAGAAGTAGGAAAGAAAAAAGGTTTATTAGTCGAAGGAAAAAGAAAGAAAAAGTTTGGAAACCAGAGGAATTGAAAAGATAAAATAATTAAAGCAAGGCTAAAAGGACAGAAATAAAAGATTGGAGAAGGACAGAAAGAGGAAAGAAAGGAAATAGTATAAAAGAAAGAAAGAAAGAAAAAGAAGAAACAGAAAGAAAGAAAGAAAAAGAAAGAAACAAAAAGAAAGAAACAAAAAGAAAGAAACAAAAAGAAAGAACGAAAAAAAAAGAAGAAACAGAAAGAAAGAAAAAGAAAGAAAGAAAAAGGAAGAAACAGAAAGAAAGAAAGAAAGAAAGAAAGAAAAAAGAAGAAACAGAAAGAAAGAAAGAAAAAGAAAGAAAGAAAAAGGAAGAAACAGAAAGAAAGAAAAAGGAAGAAACAGAAAGAAAAAGAAAGAAAAAGAAAGAAAAAAGAAGAAACAGAAAGAAAGAAAGAAAAAGAAAGAAAAGGGAAGAAACAGAAAGAAAGAAAGAAAAAGAAAGAAAGAAAAAGGAAGAAACAGAAAGAAAGAAAGAAATAAAGAAAGAAAAAGAAAGAAAGAAAAAGGAAGAAACATAAAGAAAGAAAGAAAAAGAAAGAAAAAAGAAGAAACAGAAAGAAAGAAAGAAAAAGGAAGAAACAGAAAGAAAGAAAGAAAAAGAAAGAAAAAGGAAGAAACAGAAAGAAAGAAAGAAAGAAAAAGGAAGAAACAGAAAGAAAGAAAAAGGAAGAAACAGAAAGAAAGAAAAAGGAAGAAACAGAAAGAAAGAAAGAAAAGAAAGAAAAAACCCAGAAACAGAAAAAAGAAAGAAAAAGGAAGAAACAGAAAGAAAGAAAGAAAAAGAAAGAAAAAAAAGGAAGAAACAGAAAGAAGAAAGAAAGAAAGAAAAAGAAAGAAAGAAAAAGGAAGAAACAGAAAGAAAGAAAGAAAAAGAAAGAAAAAGGAAGAAACAGAAAGAAAGAAAGAAAAAGAAAGAAAGAAAAAGGAAGAAACAGAAAGAAAGTAAGAATGAAAGAGGGAAAAGATAGAAAGAAAAAAAGAAAAAATGGAAGAAACAAAAAAAAAAAAAAATGGAAGAAAACAAAGAAAGAAGAATATAAAAGAGGAGAAAAGGAAGAAAGAGTAAAAAGGAGAAAAAGAAAGAAATAGAAGAAGGAAGTAAATGAAAGAAAGTAATAAAGAAAATTAAAATGAGAAAGAAGAAAGAGAGGGATAAGGCAAGAAAATGAAAAAAAGAAAGAAAAGAAATAAAATTAAAAAGTGAGATAAAGAAAAAAGAAAGAAAGAGAAAAAGGAAGAAAAAAGAATGAAGAGATAGAGAGAAAAAGAAAGAAAGAGAAAAAAGAAAGAAAAAAGAATGAAGAGATAGAGAGAAAAAGAAAGAATCGACAGTCGTAAAGTAGAAAGGGAGTGGTGGTAAAATAAACAAATGGCGTCAAGTGTCTTTTTAAAAGGGGTTCGGTTTTAATGCGAGTTTTTTCCATTCGATTTCACCCCGCTCCAATAATAAGCGATCTGCTTCTTTATCGGCAAAACACAGCCACATTCCTGTATATCTCCAACTGACTGACATGCGGATCGATAACCAATACAGAGCTTCTTTTCATACACAGTGTAAATGCAGAAAGAAATGCTTAACCAAAACAAATTTAAAAAAAAATTATATTTATAATCATGCTACTTTCAGTTGTGTGTCAAATATTACAGCAGACGGTTTTCTCTTGCCTTGGCTAACAACCAGTTTAGAAGAAAAACATCTCTAAATTATTTACATTCCCAAAAACAAACATGACAATAAGAAGTCTACAGATTTTAAAAAGGAAGCTGTGGAGAGTTATGAAGACGTACATTGTGAAGAAACAAAGTAATTCTTTAATATTCTTTTAGTAATATTCAACCAATACAAGGCCCAAGAGCCACCCAAGGTAAAGAGTTATTCTGTGGAGTTGTATTAGCGTAAGAAAGGGCAAGATAACAGGAAAGACAGCTAATTCTAGACTTGAAGAGGTCAAGATTTAATTAGCAAATAAAACTCCAGGTGGAGACGTTAGGAGTTGAAGTAGCATTTAGAATGGACCGGAAACCCAGTCCTAAACAGGAAACAAGGGATGAACATAAACTCCTGTTCAAAATGGCTGAGGAGGAGTGTGACCATGACGCTAGGCAAACCTATCTACTCCTATTGAGAGAGGAGAAGAAATAAACTTTAGAAGAAATTATATTTAGAATGAACTGGACACCCTATCCTAAACGGGAAACAAGAGATAAACCTCTAATCCTGTTCAAAAGGTCTAGAGAAGAGTATGAACAGGGCGATAGGCAAATTTATCTATTCCTATGAATGTAGGTATTCATAGTCACTTCAGTAAGAGTCTTATATGAGAGGAAATTTGAGGCAACAGAAAAGTTGCTGTACAGAAGGATACTGAGAATAACATTGTGGGAGGGAGCACGTAAGAAACAATGACGTCTTAAGGAAATGGAAATAAAGAAGGACATTTATACTTAGAATCAGGAAGAGACAGCTAAAATTTCTTTGACATATAATGAGGAAGGACAGCTTGGAAAATTTGACACTCATAGGGTGTATCAGACGCAAAAGCAACAGCGGAATACTTGTCGAGTTTATGTGAATAGATAGCAAAAGGGAAAGGATAATAAAGAGATAACTCTTACAAAAAACTGCAAGAGATAGGAGGTTGTGGAGGGCCATGATTGGCCGATTCCTGTAGTGACACGACACACAGAAGAAGTCTCTTCATTTTTCTTTTTTTAACCAATGTTCATCCAATACGATGCTTAAGAACCACTCAAGCTAGAGCTTAACTGAGTGGAGATATATTAGCGTAACGACAAGCGTTAGGAGTATAGAGTTGAAGATTTTAGAAGGAACCGGAAACTCAATCCTAAACGGGAAACAGGGGACGTGAAAGAAAGAAAGAAAGAAGGGCGGACGGACGGACAAGAGAGAGAGAGAGAAAAGATGATATTGCGCATGAGAGAAATGAAGGCTTGAGAGAGAGGAGGAGGAGGAGGACGTGAAAGAGAGGAAGGAGAGCATGAAACAGAGAGAAAAAAGATAGTAGAACGTTGAGGAGAGGCATGAGCGTGGAGTAGAGAGAGAAGAGAGGCGAGAGGGTGAAGAAGCGAGAGACGAGAACTTGAAGGAAAGAGTGAGCGAGAGATGAGAGCGTGAAGGAAGGAAAGAGGACAGCATGAAAACAAAAAAAAAAAACAGGGAAAGAGAGACTAAGAAAGGAAGAAGGAAAGAAAGAAAGAGGAAATATATCTATTTTTACTAATGTTCACTCAATGCAGGGCTTAAGAGTCACTAAATTCAGAGGGTTACTGTATTAGCGTAAGAAAAGAGAAGAGGTGAAGTTCCTGTGTCTATGCAGGATAAACAACGGTCACCTCTAGACTCGAAGTGGTCAAGGTTTAATTATCGAATAACATTCTACTCCCATTGAAGAAAAAAAGAAATAAATAGTATACCTTTCAGAGTTTAGACGAAGACTTTAGAAATATAGAGTCCAGGTAGAATTTACAAGGAACCGGAAACTTAATCCTAAGCAGGAAACAAGACTCAAGAATATTGTAGGAAAATAAATTTTAAATAAAATTGAAGGAAAATAAATAGTAAATAAAATTACAGAGTTTAGGCAGAGAAGTTAGAAGTATAGAGTTGAAGTAGACTTTAGAAGGGACTGGAGACCTAATCCTAAACTGGAAACAAGGGATAAGCCTCTATTCTTCTTCAAAAGACCGAAGTGGTGTGTGAAACGGACGATACAAAATAACAAATATCTATATAAAAGGTCTTAAATATTGATAAGTGACCATATTTGATGGAGAAACAATGACTGAGCAGTGGAACAAACTAAATTATATTTCTGAGCCAGTTTATTCATATTGCATAACTATCGTCTTTATCTCTATATAATTTTGCTTTTAGTTTTTATTATTACTATTATTATTATTACTACTACTACTATTTTTGATTTTTATTGTATACTCATTTCTTTTCGGGACCCAACCAGAAACCTAAGGTCAGAAATGGCATCATGACATTTTGCACTTAAAGCATCTAGTATTTTTAAATAGTCACCCATATACCAAAAATACGCTCTCATCTCTCGCTCACTCTTTCATTCACGTTCTCGTCTCTCACTTCTTCACCCTCTCGTCTCTCTTCTCTCTCTACTCCACGCTCATGCCTCTCCTCAACGTTCTTTTACTCTCTTTTTCATGTTCTCCTTCCTAAAGATGCTTTACAATCTACAGGGACTGCCATGTCAATGAGAAAGCACATTCTGTTTTTCTGGTCTTTGGTCACAATCTCTGGGTGATTAGCCTTGATTGGTCTTTGTCTGGGTATATTATAAAGACCAGAATAAAATTGGTCACCTGGTCTAACCAGGGTCGCCATTGCTTAACTTCTGTTATCGTATCGGAACATGATGTGGCCATAAGCACACTTTACATAGATAAATCCCTTCATAAGTTGTGAGCTGTACTTGCGAGAACAAGTTTGGTTTGGTTTGGTTTGGTTTATGGCATATCAACCTCAATGGGTCATTTAATTCCGACAAGATTTTTATTGATGGCAATTTATTACTGTTAATATTTATTTTCTCAAAAATATATTGCTGATAATTTTTTCCTTCAAAACTGTATTGCTAGTAATATTTTTTTTTTTCAAAAATGTATTACTGGAAATATTTTTCATTCGAAAATGTATTGCTGGTAATATTTTTTTCCTTCAAAAATCCATTGTTGGTAATAATTATTTTGTTCAAAAATTTATTGCTGGTAATATTTTTACAAAAATGTATTGCTGGTATTAAAACCTATTTTTACACTTTCATAGGGAGTTGATCCCAGTTCTGGGGTTAACTACCTGCGCATAGCTGGGATCCTAACAGCTGCTACAACCTCGGATCAGGGTGGACCAGTACTTAAGAGGTGCTTCCACGCTCCTTAAAACCTCCTGAGAGGCATTGCTGTTGGTTGTAGGACGCGGATGCGGGTGTAGTTTACCATCATACCCAGAACGGCTTGCGAGACATGGCTTTTGCGTTTCTTTAAGGCATCGGTTTAAGATCTTAGTGTTTTGATTGTCCTGGGTATGAGAAAAAAAATACACCCGGCAGCAAGGTTTCTGATCTGGTGGTCTTGAGGAGTGTTGGACCTCCACTTGCTGTTGTTCCCAGGTCTACCCTGATCCGGGTCCCGGCTATGGGAAAATAGTTAACCCCCAAACTGGGGTAAAAAATCATTGAGAATATAAAAAAAGGACACATGGCACAGTGGATAAAGGCGTTAGTTAGATCCAGTGAAAGGACCCAAAGAGTGTGAGTTCAATACCTGGTTAAGTGTTATACCAGAACATTACCTATTCTATTGTAATAGACTCTCCCACACATAATAAGTAGTAGTAGCGGTCGCCAGTTGGGCTCAGTGGAGTTGAGTGAGTCAGTCGATGTCGGACATTGAAGTATCAACCACCCCAACTCGATTGCTGCGTCATTAACTATTATTATTTCAAGTTCCTAACGTTTTGTACGTTGGACACTTTTAGGACCAACTTAGCGAAATACAAGCCTCCACTGTGAAAACTACTCTACAACATTAAGGCGGTGGAGAACTTGGAGAGGGGAATTAACAGGAGATAACTGATAACTGACATCCATTAGACATGGCATGTGGAACTAGAACAGTCTACCCTAGCGAGCGAAATAAAAGGTTCAGTTCGACATTCCAACGACCTGAAGAAAGCCGGAGCATACAACGGCCAAAACGTTGTGATAAGTATGGCAACAAAGATGAGGACGATAGTCCGTATAATTTAAATAGTCTACATAATACCTCATCTCAGAAATATAGACAGATACTAAAAATTACCAGCAACACATTTTTGCAAAAAATAAAAATAAAAATAACAGAAATACATTAGACCTTCGACGAAAAACCGTCTTTACAAAATAAGTCAATGAAACCTGATTTCTTGAAAGAATACATATTCTATTCATAAGAGCCTCTCCTAAAAATCTTGGCAGCGTTAAATAACACAATGAAGTTAATATGTCGTAAAACCAGACTCTCTACAACAACCATCTTTAAAAAAAAAATATCAGTGAAACTTGATCTACAAACTGATTTCTGACAAATAATACATATTCAATTCATAGGAACCTATCCTAAAAATCTTGTCGGCATTAAATTACACATTGTGGTTGATATACCGTAAAACAAAATAAACTATACCAAACCTTGTATATTAATATATTTTTTAAGATCTTTAAAGATGCTTTACAGCCTACAGGGACTGCCATTTCAATGAGAAAGCAGATTCTGTTTTTGTCAGTTTTCATCAGGACGTCTGGGCGATTAGCCTTGATTGGTCTTTGTCTGTGTGTATTATAAAGATCAATTAAATTGGTCACCGGGTCTGGGTTCTGTTCATACCAATTACTAGAAGTTTCTTTCTTGTAAAAGTTGCAGATTTTACGCTGCTGATATTGGTCCACCTTGCCAAGTTTTATATATCGACGGACGCTAACACCATGCAACCTGATACAAGAAGGTCAAATGTTTCTGGATATTTATCACAGAATCGGCATTATCATCATCATTATTAGTTTAATGGCTAGCGGCTAGGAACCAATAAGCTTAGTAAATAACATTAATAATTAGAATAACATTTCCGGATATATGGACATCTATATGGGTCACGTTAACTTTAACATTTTATATCTAATTTCTTCCATTTTCTTTTGGCTTACTTTCACAATCTGGTAGCCTTTCGTTAAGCGAGGCGACTTCATATGGTATAATTGTTAACGAGGCTACTCTGATTAGCCATTGCTATTAAATGTAGAGAGTTCGATCCTCACTGGGTGCCTCATACGAAATTCGGCAGCAAATAACCAAACATGTTTGATATATCGTAAATCCAAACATCATATTAAGTGAGTGTCTCACGTTTAATCGATTCATTGTTCATCGACATAATCGTGGGTCACATGGCACGGATACGACATGTCAAAAAGTGTTTTAAGATTTTTAACAGGATAAACTCGACCACGCAGTTTGAAATTATATAACAATCGGTAATAATACCCACTGCCTGTACGATCTAATGTTGTTTTTGACGTTTCAATGAGGCACATGTTCCCGGTTAAAAATATTGAGGGAAATATGGATCCCTGTCCTACGATGTCTTTTAGGGGCGGTAAAACTGGGAGGGTTATTTTTAGAAATTATCATTGACTTTTTTCTCGGAAGTATATACGCACCATCCCTGTTTACATATAGTCTCAAGTATAAATCTAAGTAATGTTTGCCAAAAGACTCAAGTATAAACCCAAACAGTGTTTGCCTTAAACCCAACAAATGCTTACCTATCAATTCACGATCACTGTTTATCTGTTGACTTACACATAAATACGACCAATATTTACGTACAGACTCGATTAAAGATTAAACAAACTTGACAATCTCTACCTGGGGACTCAAGTATAAACAAATCAAAGTTTACTTAGAGACTCATATTTTTCCACCCTACAACCTCTTTCTCACAGATGAAAAGTCGTAAGCCACTCGCTGCTCTATAGCTATTTCCGTGAAAATTGTTCAGACGAACTACATTTCTTAGTTCCACCAATTCTAATGGCTAAAACCTGAGTAGCTTCTTCTTACGAATCGCTTCTTTATGGAACCGACCGCCAAGAGGGTGCTTCCCCGATGACTTCAATCTTAACCCGTTCAAGTTTAGGATTAACGGTTATCTTCCCCACATATCCGCATATAGTGTGTCTCTTCTTCTGTAACACTCTACCTCGAGTGGCTCCAGGGTATTGTACAGGGTGAACACTAAAAAAATACTCAAACAAAAAGTAACTATAATGGTCGCGCTCAAGTCAGCCTTGAGCTGAGATGGAACAACCAACCTTTTTCGAACGCTTTGATGTGGAAAACTTTCTCTAATGAAAACTAGATTGGTAAACTGTAGAATTAAACTCATGAGGTACCGTGGAGCTACCTGATAAGTGGCAACGAGACATTGTAATAATAGTCCGAGGATGCTGAAGTGATTCTCCTGGTCGTTGCTGATCTTCGTTGATCAGATTGGGGTTGCTAATCCACTTTCCTGGTTACATGATGAGGAGCCTGTAGATGATTCAGTTTGGCCTCGAAACCTGTGGTTTGACATTGTGGCGTTAGTTTTATCAGCCTACTCTTCTGTGCTGGCTTGCGGCGTACGAGATGAAAAGTAAAGCCTAAAATATTTATGGTGCTTATCCGTTAGTTATTATTATTATTATTCACTTTCCAGCATTGTGGGTAACAAATTATTTCCATTCTACATCGTCAAGTCGCAAGCCTCTCGCTACCTTATCGTTATTTGCATGAAAAGTATTCAGACAAACTACATTCTTTAGTTCCACCACTTCTAACCTACACGGCTAAAACACGAACAACAGCTTCTCACGAATACCTTCTTTGTGGAAACGACCCCCAAGAGGACGCTTCCCCGATCATTACAATTGTAACCTGTTCAAGTCTAGGATTAACCGTTATTTTCCGCATATATCCGCATAAGCTATGCCTCTTACTCTCTAAACCGTATACCACGAGTGGCCATCGGGTCTTGTACAGGGTGAATTCCATTGGTAAGATGTTAGTTCCACTCGAGTAGGTTCTTCCCACATGCCACTGATTTGTGGAACCGAACTCCAAGATGTCTAGGATAACTCTTTATCTTCCCCTTCTATCTGTACAAACTGCCTCCTGGCGTAGTACTCTACCTCGAAGATTACTGAAAGAGAAATAGAAAGTGGATCGAGCAAAGAGACTTTGAAAACATCTTACGAAGAAGAGAGTTTGAAAACATTTTACGAAGAAGAGACTTTGAAAACATCTTACGAAGAAGAGAGTTTGAAAACATTTTACGAAGAAGAGACTTTGAAAACATCTTACGAAGAAGAGAGTTTGAAAACATTTTACGAAGAAGAGACTTTGAAAACATTTTACGAAGACTTTGAAAACATTTTACGAAGAAGAGTATGAAAATATCTTACGAAGAAGAGTTTGAAAACATCTTACGAAGAAGAGTTTGAAAACATCTTACAAAGAGAGTATGAAAACATCTTAGGAAGAAGAAAGTTTTAAAATATTTTAGGAAGAAGAAAATTTAAAAACATCTTACAGAGAGTTTGATAACTTGATAGGAAGAAGAGAGTTTGAAAACATTTTACGAAGAAGAGACTTTGAAAACATTTTACGAAGACTTTGAAAACATTTTACGAAGAAGAGTATGAAAACATCTTACGAAGAAGAGTTTGAAAACATCTTACGAAGAAGAGTTTGAAAACATCTTACGAAGAAGAGTTTGAAAACATCTTACAAAGAGAGTATGAAAACATCTTAGGAAGAAGAAAGTTTTAAAATATTTTAGGAAGAAGAAAATTCAAAAACATCTTACAGAGAGTTTGATAACTTGATAGGAAGAAGAGAGTTTGAAAACATTTTACGAAAAAGAAAATTTGAAATCATCTTAGAGGAAAAAAGTTTTCAAATATTGCGATCTGTAACAATATTCAATTTTTGTATCTATTATCTGTGAACTGTCAGATTTATAGATAAAAATAAATAAATGGAAAGGTTTCCCCTTGGTATTACATTGGTGAGATAAATAAATGGAATGGTTTCCCCTTGGTATTACATTGGTGAGATAAATAAATGGAATGGTTTCCCCTTGGTATTACATTGGTGAGATACAAGTTCTACTCTAACAGCTTCTTCCCACGAACCGTTGCTTTGTCGAACCGAACCCCAAGTGCACGCTTCCCCGAGCACTAACAATCTTAACCTGATCAAATCTAGAGTTAAATATTATCTTCCCCAGATATCCGCACAAACTCTAACTCTTGCTCTGCAATCCTCTATCTCGCGTGGCTCTAGGGCCTTGTAGAGTGTGAATATCATTGTATAAAAATGCTCATTTTTTATCTATCAACTCCAGTATAAACACAACCGATGTTTACCTATAGACTCAAGTATATACCTGACCAATATTTACCTATAAATACAGGTATCAGTTTGACATTAAATAACGCAACAGGAGTTAATACATCGTAACATCCACCAACCCAACGTTACCCCCACCTACAAAATTATGAAGTGTTTTCTGACAAATTTAACCACTTGGACTTGCTGGGGGGAGTAGGGGAGGTTTAATAATTTTGGAAATATGACTCATAAAACTGGAAAAAGATTGTGCATGAACCAATGATGGCGGAGTAGAGAAGGAGAAATTATAGAAAGAGAGAGACAAAGCGGAAGAGATTAAGAAACAGATAAAGATTGGATTAGCAGGATTGACCTTTGTTCGTTTGCTTCTTTTCCATTTTGTTTTCCCAGAGAAAAGGAAAGAAAATGACTTTCTGATGGACTTTTCAACTAATCAAACCTGTTGGTCGCATAAAGCTGACAAATATGGCTGCCTAATGACATGCGCACAAAATATAAATGAGAACGTGAACGAATTAGCGATCTGCAATTCTCATTGGTCCACGTCAGATAACGTCCATCCAGGGATCATATGCTTGACCAATAAATATATAAATCTGTACTAAGATATAGTCGGACATAGTGGATGGTTTATAAAAGGCTCGCCTGTCTGTTTCAGTTAATTCTCCATCGCTGGTGTTAATAACTCATCCCATTCAACACTTAACCTTTTTAATAAAACTATATCCTTCCTTATTTATTTATTTATTTATTTGGAATGGAGAAAGGCTGATGACTAGAAGCCAATGGAGGTAGGGGAGTTTTGCTTTCATCTTGAACACTGCCGGCGGCACGACTGATTTCTGGTGTATACATTAGACGGGTTAGATGCAGGGGTAAATATTTAAAAATAAATCAAGCTTGATGTTTTGTTTTTTTTTTCGTCTCTAACCGAAACTAAACGTCAAATCTAGTTTCGTCAAAACACTGAACGGAGATAGTTTTTTTTTTTTTTTTTTTCATGGTTGGATGTTCGCTCTCGAATTGACTCTCCGTCCTCATGAACACTGTCCCCTTAAAACTCCCCCCACTACAGTTTGCGCTCTCCCCGGCCACTGTACAAAGTTAATCAAGATTGCTTGGTCTTGAAAATGTCCGAGGCTTCTGGCCCATGACTGATTCGCTTTCGTTGACATATCAGCAGCCAAAATCAAATAAAAGTTGTGACTAATACTTCTTTTTTTGAACCCTTCAAGGGATACGCCCCAAAGACGTTGTCTGTTCGCCTTTCAAATGATACAGCGCAATTATTCACCATTTTCACTGTGGAAAAATTGGAAATTTTGTCATATAGAAAGAGCGGTTAGGTTTAAAAGATTCGTAGAGACTTAGAGAGAGAATGAATGAATGAATTGTGGTGGGGGAGAGGATGTGTGAGATAGAAAGGGGGAGAGTGGTGGAGAGAAGAAAAATAGACAAACGACAAGAGAAAGATTAAAGAAACGATTGAATGGAAGAATTTTTTAAATTATAAAAAGACCAAAAGGCGGGTACAAAAAAATGAAAGATTTAAATAGCTAAGGGAAAAAAAGGAAGATAATTTGATAAAGAAAGAAAGAAAGCGAAGAGAAAAAAGGAAGATAATTTGATAGGAAAAGAAAGAAAGAAAGATTGAAATAGCTAAGAGAAAAAGGAAAATAATTTGATGGGGAAAAAAGAAAGAAAGATTGAAATAGCTAAGAGGAAAAAAAGGAAGATAATTTGATGGGAAAAGAAAGAAAAAAAGCTCAACAAACCACAAATAGACAATTAATACAGACACATATGGAAAAGAAAGAAAGGGAATACAAAACCACAAAGAGAGAAAGAGAAAACGTACATGTGAGAAAGAAAGTTTAACGAACCCCCCAAAATGGTACCTTTACCTGTAAACAAATAAAGCAAACGATCTACACGTGATTTTCGAACAAATCATCTTTGTTATAAAAAATATTTGCTTTGATATTTTCTAAGTTTATCTTAGACTGGTACAGCTGTAAATTGTGTATCTAACTCAGCACAAAAAATGCTTGAATATTAAATAAACCTCGATTAAACTAGCACCAGTCCACAATATTTTGACACCCAGTGGCGTAGCAAGAATTCTCAGCACCCAAGAGCGAATAAAGTCTTAGTGCCTGCAATCCATTTATACTTGAAATCTTTTGCTGTGTGTTTTATGAATACATAACCCTTTGAATGACAAGAAGAAATCAATTATCATTTGCACCCAGGCCAATATCAAAATTGGAAAACTAGAACTAATTGTATTACACCTCTGTATTATGTAGACTTGCATAATTTATTAATCATTTTGAAATTCATGCCATTCATTATTTTTATCTTTCAATATAACAGCGGGAATAAATAATTGTTAATAATATTAGCCGTCTCCTTATAAGGAAACATTCGGCATTCATTGTCAGCATTTATTGTTCTCCTTTCAGTCGAAATTTATAAAGCCTTTCTATTAACAGATTTTACAGGTAAATAGGTTTCTCTAGTCCAGTATCTGTAATTGCTCCTTCCAGTATGGTTAGATCCAGTGACAGGACCCAAAGAGTGTGAGTTCAATACCCGGTTAAGGCAGTGAAGAACTTTCAGAGGTAAATTAACAGGAGATAACTGACAACTGACATCCATTAGACATGGCACGTGGAACTAGAACAGTCTACCCCAGTGAGTGAAATAAAGGGTTCAGTTCGACATTCCAACCACCTGAACAAGGCCGGAGCGTACAACGGCCGAAACGTTGTGATAAATATGGCGAAAAAGATGAGGACAATAGTCCGAATAATGTAAATAATGTACATTATACCCCATCTCAGAAATGTAGACAGACAACCTCAAGGGGTTATTTAATGCCAACAAGATTTTTATTGGTGATAATATATTTTTTCAAAAATGTACTGCTGCTAATGTTTTTTCAAAAATGTATTGCTGGTAATATTTTACCTTCAAAATGTATTACTGGTAATATTTTTCCCTGAAAAAAGTACTGCTGGTAATATTTTACCTTGAAAAAAGTATTGCTGGTAATATTTTACCTTCAAAATATATTGCTGCTAATATTTTTCCTTCAAAATATATTGCTGCTAATATTTTACCTTCAAAATATATTGCTGGTAGTATTTTTTACTATGTTTTGCTGGTATTAAAACTTATTTTTATATTTTCATAGTGTTTTGACCCCAGTTTGGGAGTTAACTATTTGCCCATAGCTGGGACCCTAACAGGTGCTACCACCCCAGATCAGGGTGGACCCGGGAACATCAGCAAGTAAGAGGTGTAATCACGCTCCTCAAAACCTTCTGAACAGAGGCCTTGCTGCCGAATGTAGTTTATCGTCCTACCCAGGACGGTTTAGAGTAGGCTGTAACGTCAGCATCTCGAAAATGTCATTATATACTAGTTGAGTTACATGTGCTATCCTATTTTGTTATTGAAAGTTCTCAAGAGATGTGGTTTCTATTATTTGGTACAGTTCTTTGATTGTGATTATGTAGCGCCAGTTTGCAATGTTCGGGAAGGGATGGTCCTTTTCAAGACCTACACGCTACATTCGCTCAAAGCCAATTTCAAGCATTGATATACAAGCACTTTGAGAAAGTGATTGTATACGGCTGACTGTTGAGATATTTGACGAGTTTGATGTCATACATAGCAACCCCTTAAAATTCTTCACCTAACGAGATTTTTGGTTCCGATTCCTGGAAATCCATGCATTTATGGTAATGTCCATGGTTTATGTGACAGAAAAAAATACAAGACCTTTAAGATTCACTTTGCTTCACATTAAAAAAATTATAATTTTATAAAACCGGTATTCATAGTTGCTTACATTATTTGCATTATTCGGATTGTTATTCTCATCTTCATTGCCATATTCACAACGTTTCGGCCATTGTACGCCCTGGCCTTCTTCAGGTGTTTCGAATTCCGAACCAATCCCTTTATTTCGTCCACCGGGGTAGATTGTTCTAGTTCCCCGTGTCATGCCTCTTCCGGATGTTTCAGTTATTTCCCTTTAACTAAACTCTCTAAATTTGCTTCACCGCTGCTGTGGCCTGGTATTGAACTCACAACTCTTTGGGTCCAGTCACTGGATCTAACCAACGTCTTTATCCACTTGAGAACAGCTGAGTATGAATTTTTGGGGACTTGTAAACCTAATGTATCAGTAATCATTTTTTTACCAGTGCTCATATTGCATTTTTTACCAGAGCTTATATTGCAATTTTTTTTCTTATTCATTGCTTTTCTGTAGCACTCCTTATTACTGGTTCCCATATTTTATTCATTTCTATGCTTGGTCGGCTCGGGAGATTTTTTATGGACTAGCATATGTGCTGATTCCTTAAGTTTTCGTATTTTCCAATATAAATAACGTAAGTAATCATAATACTTCATCTCAAAGATATAGACAGATATTGGTATTCATTGATTCATTAAGTTGTAGATGCACTTTTCCCACCGGATAAAACTTTACTTCACTTCAGATTCTGTGTATATTTTTGTAAATATCATTTTTTATTTATTTATTTAAGGACATAGTCGATCATGACTCCTTACAGATACCTTTTGTCTTTGTTACATCCGGTTCACCCTCCTTGCCAGTCTTTTAAACTGGAGTAAAAGTTGATATCTTGTTCCTTGTTTAGGATTAGTTTTCAGGTTCCTAATAAATTTTATTCTCTTTCACTCCCAATAGACCCCCTTGCGTCTTAAGGGAATTATCACCTTCTACCTCAACTCTATATTTCTAACGTCTCCACCTAATCTCTGAAATTTATACTACCTGTTTATTTTTTACTCAACAGGAGTAGATAGGTTCGCCTGCCATCCAGTTCGTACGCCTCTTTCATCTTTTGAACAGAAGTAGAGGTTAATGACTGGTTTCCTGTCTCGTATTGTGTTTCCGGTTCCTTCTAAATTCTATCTTAATTCTATATTTCTAATGTCTCTGTCTAAACTCTGATATGTATACTATTTATTTTTTTCCTTAATTGGAGTAGATAGGTTCGCCTATCATTAGGTTCACACTCCTCTCCCGTCATTTGAAATGGAGTAGAAGTTTATCTCTTACTACCTGTTTAGGACTATGTTTCCTTCTAAATTCTATCCCAACTCTATATTTCTAACGTCTCTGCCTAAACTCTGAAATGTATATTGATTATTTATTTTTTTCCTTGATATAAATAGACAGTTTCGCCTATCGCCCAGTTCACACTCCTACCAGGGTTTTTTTTTAACTTTAGTATAGGTTTATCCTTTGTTTCCTGTTTAGGATTGGGTTTCCGGTTTTTTTTTCCAAACGCTATTTCAGTTCTGTTACTCGAATATCTCTTCCTAAACTCTGAAATTTTATTTACAATCTATTTACTATTTTTTCCCTTTTTTTCCATATGAGAAGATAGGTCCAACTATCGTCCGGTTCACTCTCCTCCTCAGTTTTTTAACAGAGGCAGAGGTTTATCCCTTGTTTCCTGTTTAGGATTGAGTTTCAGGTTCCTTATATAGTCTTTTTCATCCCTTTCAGTTCCAGTAGACCCTTTGTGCCTTAGTAGCGTTATCGCCTTTCTTGGGGTGAATTGATTTAAAAAAAAAAAAAAAAAAGGAGCTTTCTTGGGAAAGATAACAGACTAATTTTGAATTCAAAGTTTCCTTCAACTGAAGTAGCTACTGCCCAAGACTAGACAATCCAGTTTCTTCTACTTTTTAACCCATAGCTAGTGGGGAACGTGACTGCAGCAAGCTGGTTTAAATTTGACCTGGTGTCATTGATTCCTCCTTTCACACCGAACAATGCTACCCGCACGCCAAGATTAATTAAATAAGATAAACTTTCGATATGAAATATAGCCCTTTTTCTCGCACAGTCTAATTCCAGCGATAAATATTTTTCCCATATTCCTTTCATGGTCTGACTCGATATTTTTTCATCTAACAGATTTAGCAATGCGGATTTTTTTTTTTTTAATTTCCCCGGACGATTAATGACGTCAGGACCCCGATCAGCTAAAATGCTGCATGCGGCATTTAAACGACACCACACAATGTCAAAATCTGACATCAGGCCAAATATTTAATATAATGAATACTAACATTCGCATGATAAGTCACATGACACTAAATAGTAATTATAATGTTGAGACTAACCGTTTCCATACATTAAATATTAGACAATCATTAACCGAACAGTTTTTCAGGAAAATAGGCTTCTCAAGCCCACTGTTAAGGCTCTTTCTATGACTGATGAGAGTTTCCGTCTTAAATTTTGTTTGAGATAATGTGGAATGTCAACCATTTTTGTAATCAATTCACCCCAAGCAAGGTGATAATGTCACTAAGATTTAAGGGGCTACTGCAAGAGAAATAGAATATGAAAGAATTTTAAAAAAACCGGAAACCCAATTCTAAAAAGGAAGCTAGAGATAAATCACTACCACTCGCGTTCAAAAGACCTGGGAGGAGTGTAAACCGGACGATAGGTGAACCTATCTGTTCCAATTGTAGAAAAAGTAAATAAATAGGAAAAATTTTAGAGTTTAGACGGTGACGTTAGTAGTAATCAGGAAACAAAGGATAAGTCTCTAGGTATGTTTAAAAGATCGGGGAGGAGTGTGAACCGGACGATAAGTGAACAAATTTATTCCTACAGTGGAAGAAGTAAATAAATAGGAAAAATTTCAGAGTTTAGATGGTGACGTTAGTAGTAATCAGAAAACAAGGGATAAGCCTCTACACTTGTTCAAAAGACCGTGGAAGAGTGTGAACAGGGCGACAGCTGAACCTATCCGCTCTTATTGGTGAAAAAAATAAATAAATAGTAAAAATATAAGAGTTTAAACGAAGACGTTCGACATAATCAGAAAACAAG